GCAGTGGGATGATGATGGAAGTGGGAGTGCTGGGTTTACGGGGCCAGGGGTGAAGGGGTGGATTGGGGTTGCGGAGGGGGAAGGGGGGTTGAAGGTGTGGAATGCGAGGAGGCAGGTGGGGGATGGGGGTAGTGTGTATGGGTATTGGAGGAGGGTGTTGCGGGTTCGGAAGGGGTTTGGGGATGTGTTTGTTTATGGGGATTATGGGCTTGTTGATGATGGGGATGATGAGAGGGTGTTTGTTTATAAGAGAGGGTTGAGGGAGGGGGGGAAGGGGGGGGTTGTGAGGGCGCTTGTTGTGATGAATTTTGTGGTGGGGGAGGGGGTGGATTGGGTTGTTCCGCGGGAGGAGGAGGGGGTGAGGGAGGTGTTGGAGAGGGGGAGGGTGGTGGTTGGGAATTATGAGGGGAGGGATGAGGGGGATGGTGTTTGGGGGGGTGAGGGTGGGGATGGGGATGGGAATGGTGTAGGTGGGAGGATAGGTGAGGTTGTGAGGTTGAGGCCGTTGGAGGCGTTTGTGGTGGTGTTAGAGGAGTAGATGCATCATGCAGCCAGCAAGCAATGCAATGCAACACCTGAATTTTCTCCTGCCTGCATAGTTTACTCGAAGCAGTCAACAGGCAAAATCCCATTGTTTCAAAGTCCCAAACAATAAAATGCCAAGTTTCAAAAACAAAACATAGTTTAATAATGCCATTGTTTCTGTGTTTCTGTTTCCATTCCTGTTTCAAACTCAACATGTTTAATAAAACAAAGGGAAAGCCACCCCTTTCCACTAACCCCATCCATACCTTGAAGGCGAAAACAAAAACCTGACCAAATACAACCAGAAATTCAAAGAAGTAGGAAAATTGATTGATAAAAAAACTACATCAAAGTCCTACTACTCAGTTCAAACCTCACTCCACATAAAAAGGAGAGGGAGAGAGAGAGAGATCTAGAAGATAAATAAAAAGTCATTCATTCCAGACATTCATTCCAGCCTCTTCAAAGCTAACTTAACAAACTAACTAAATTTAAAAAAAAGGGAACCATACAGAAACGCAAGAATAAAGGGGACCTTGCCTGCCTAGGCACACATCACGCTTGACAAACAAACAGAACAGTACATCCATATTTTGACAATAAAAAGCGAGGAAGAATACATGACAGAGAAGGGTAAAAAAGAACAAAAACTTGATACAACGTCCCAACTAATATAAAAACAGGGAACCTGATAGATAGATACAAGAATCTAATCATATATATCAGATTTTAGTTGGGGTGTTGCAAGAAAAGAAAAGGAGAAGTTGGAAAAGTTTTCGGGTTGTTTATAGAACGCTTCGTTTATCGATATTGACCCGTTCGTTTCCTCCTTTTTTTCCACCCTCCTCCGATGAAAGAGTAATTTGCAAGTAAAATATGTATTTCGAAAAAAGAAACGGAAAAGGCAAAAACGAAGAACCCGTGTTTTCAACTTTTCCAGTTTTCCCCCATTGCATGTAATTTGTCGAAAATGTGTGTGGTTGATTTGACTCCCTTTATCTGACATTTCCCCGGTTTCCATGCAGAAAATAAAAAATATATATATAAAGAGGGGGTTCAAAGAATTTATGCAACAGCCATCTCAGCACCACGGGGCTTCAGCACGTTTTTGGCATATTCACCGCCGTAGTTGCCTATTGAACGGTTAGTATTGAAGAATCGAAGGTATGGCAAAGCGGACCACATACCAGGAGGTCCATAGTTGCAGACGGTGAAATGGTTGATGTCGTTGTTGCAGTTGTAGGTCGCACAGCCGACGGTTTTGGTGCTCTTCCAGACCATCTGGGTGAAGTGACCCCAGGACTTGAACTGGCTCATGTCGGGGTCGGACATGCCGTAGAAGGCAGAGAAGAGCTCAGCCTCGTCGTTGTACATCATGTTGGTGAGCAGCTTGCCGACGGCGTCGGGGCCGAAGCCGTAGCCAATGTTCTGGCCGTAGCTCTCGCCGCCAATGGAGCTATTGATAGGTTATTAGCAAAGTCTGACTAGCAAAGCGGGATTGGGTATACTAGAACTCACACGTCGTGCTCGAAGACGCATCGCTGAGCAAGAGTTTTGGCAGCGGCGGCGAGGCTGTCGGACCAGGTGAGGTCAGGGGCAGAGTGGTTGGCACGGTGGATGTTGTGGTGCTTGAGAACACGGGACTGATAGTCGTTCGCAGGCGGAGGAGCATAGGTGGGCTGAGGCTCAGGCTTAGGCGCAGGAGCATAGGTGGGCTCAGGCTTAGGCTGAGGCTTGGGCTTGTAGGTTTGGACTGGTTTGGTGGCCACGGGCGGCTTGCTGGGATGCTTGTGCTTCGTCTTGGTGACGACGACGGGAGGTTGGTAGCCACCCTGGTCGGCGGGGGGTTGCTCTGGGGCAGGAGTTGGGGCAGCGCCGCGGGTGACGTATTCGGTGACGGTGACGACGGTCAGGTCGGTAACGTAGGCACGCTTCATGACGGGGGTGGCCATTGCGCTGGCGGCGCAGAGGGCGCTGAGAAGGAGTGATCCTCGCATGGCTGAGTGGGTGGTTGATTGATTTGCTTGATGGCGATGGGAATCCGGAGGGAGATTCGATTCTCGGGGCTCAGGGGCAGCGAGGCAGCGAGAAATAGGCGCGCGATCACAGATCAAGAGCGAGATTGGGGGCTTCCACAGGAAGAGAGGCGGATCTGAGCCAGGCAGACGGGGCAAGGAGAGCAGGCGGGCGGAAAAGAGCGACAGAGACAGGCAGACGCGGACACTTTGAAGGAGTGAAAAGTGCACGGAGGAACAAGCCGAAGGAGAGACGGCGGGCGAGGAGAGCGAGAGTTGGGGATATAAGAGAGGGAGAGGGAGGAGAGGAGAGGAGAGGAGACGAGACGAGGGAGACAAGATGGGGCAGACGAGGCAGGAAATGAGGGCCGGCCCAACTGGGGCTAGCGGGCTGGGCGGGAACAGGCAGGGCGACTGACAGTGAGTGGCTGAAACAGAACAGTCAGCAGCCAGCAGTCAACAAACAGTCAACAGGGCAGCTCCCTCATCTATGTGTCCGTCTCGTCTCCATCCCCCGTCTATGTAGTTGTCCATCTACTCCCCTCTCTCCTCTCCTCTGCTCATCTTCCTCTGCTCAACTTCCTCTGCCCATGATACTCTCTCTATCTCTATCTCTCTTCTCAGGGGGATCGGCTGGCCTCGCCAATAGCAGCCGCTGGCGTGCCGTGGCGCCCTCGCTGGGGCCGCCTGCCCGTGCTGATTGGGCCCTGCGTGTTTAGTTTAATTGCGATGCCGCTGACGCCCTGGGCTACTTGGCGTGTTTTGTTTCTATCGCCAATTCCTCAATTCCGAATTCCTGTCACAGCACGCGCCCGCTCCCGGTGTCTGTTTTGTTCGTTCCAGCCCTATCAATTCCTAGTTGTAACTGCTTGCTTGCTTGCTTCACCATCTCCGTATCGTACTTCTTCTTGCACCACCTTCCCCGCACCGCTCCCATGGATGCTGGATGCTCTGCCCAGGAACGGATCCGCACCCATGTTTCGCCGCAAAAACTCTGTTCCTGGCCCCCCCCGTCAAATCCCGCAGCCTTCAACAAGGGTCGTTCTGGGTTCTCCCGACTCTTGAAAGCCTCGACCCAACTGGCAACTGCCGCTGGAATTCGGCCTTTGTCCAGTGTCCACTCGCCTGCGAGCAAGTGGCCCAATCCTCGCCGTCTCTGCCAAGTTTGGCCCAAGCTCAGCATTTGTCCCTCCACTCCGCCGTCTCATCTCGATTCTCTAGCAAGTTGGTAGCCAGTGGCCCCGAAAATCTCGATTCCGGCCAGCTGGGTTCCTGGATTGAGTCCTGCCAACCTGGACAAGTTCCAGGTTGACTCCTGGATGTAGTTACCGCTGTGGATGATGGGACGGATCCATCCCCCCCACCCAAACGAACCCTGGATTGGACATGTCGTCTGGAATTCTCCAAGATCTTGAAACACAGATTATCTCCCGTCTCCCCCTCCAATCTTCATACATGACGGCCAACAACCACCAACAACAGCAGTAACCAACGCTCATGCAGCCTCCCCGCCAACGTTGGGCAGCATGGTAAACGCTCTTTCTTTCTTTTCTTCTCTTGCCTGACCGTTTTATTTTGCCATGCCTGAACACTGAACACATAGTTACGTAGCTCCGTAACCTCGCCCTGCAGCATGGCCTGCATGCATGCAGTTCTGCATCTTTCGAGATAAAGTTATCAGCGTGGCTCCAGCCATGATCTCTATCTAACTTTTAAGCCTACCTATGTATCCAAACTTTCTTATCTTCTTTTCTTTTTCCCTTTTAGTATCTCTATCTCCGTAGAGTCCAACATAGAATAGTAATGACGTGCCTTCTTGCGTGATCATTGATGTGATAGGTAGTGATTATTTCTTTTTTCTTGCTTTTTGCCGTTTCACAGTTTCAGCCACCCACCCACGCCTTTTCATACAGCAAAGGCAGAGCGAGCATATCCAACCATTGCCATTGGCAACCAAACCTGCAGGCTGCAGACTGCTGTTACCGTTTGATTCTGTTGGGTCTGTGGCGTTTTGAAACGTCATTATTTTCTTCCTTTTTTTCTTCTTCTTTTTTGTGACAACGGTATGGTTCACCCATCGACGTTGTGGCTTTCTCATGGCAGGAAAGTTACTCCGTAGAAGAAGATCGATTTACATTCCTTTTTCTTTCTTTTTTATCCAAGGAATGAACATGCTAAAACAGCTTTACTTATTACCCTGTTCTTCAAAACAGGGCTTATTATATTTTGCTGGAAACAACATGACTACATAGTTCAGTTATAGTTACGCGAAGATAAAACACTCCAAGGCAGTAAAGACCCCTATAGTAGCCTGTACGGAGTATTTAAAGCTAATAAATTTTCAATTTTCCGGCAGTTTAATATTACCCAATGTGTTGTAATAACATGGCCAATAACAATGGGTGTTGTTGACCACTGTGTTATTATTCAAGTTTCCGATAACACAATCAATAACACATGGGGCGCTTGGTTTAGTGGTATAATATGTCATTCGCACTTGCAATTGCTTAGTAACACGCACACGCGGCGTACGCATGCGCACGCATTGACGGGGTCGCCGGTTCGATTCCGGCAGCGTCCATTTTTTTTTATTTTTTTTATTTTTTGGTTTTTTTTTTGGGGGGGGGGTTACTTTACTTCCCTTCCCTCTCCATAGCAACTACTCCATAACTATCTATTACACCAATGTATTGCATTCACGGGCGCTTGGTTTAGGGGTATAACATATCACCCGCATAGTTACACTGACTTAGCATGTTATGATAAGGTCGCCGGTTCGATTCCGGCAGCGTCCATTGATTTTTTCTTTTTTTTTTACGCCAATGAATTGTATTTCTCTCCATTGAGAATTGCTAGCTAACTACTATTTGAAGGAGAATGTGTATAAAGTACCGCCGGCTAGCTTCCTTGCCAAAGCAAGCAAGCATGAGATATAAACACTCATTTATTGGAACTTTGCGTTGCTTTCTTTTTCTTTTAAGGACTGTATGTATACTACCCCCCACAAACAAACGATTTCATATGATCTGGGACATGGCGCTTAGTTTGGAGCAAGATAGACGTATTTATTTGGTCTTGATGTGATCTCCTCCTCTGCTTGTTGCGCCAGCCCCCAGTCGATAAAGCTATGGGCCCTCATTGCAGCTCCATATGACCTCGAGGTTGGGTGATATTCAGCTAGTTCTCCGTTTGAAAGACGGATGGTAACAGAAAACCCGACACGAGCGGCTTTTGTTCATTGTCGGATGCATCCGCACTGACTCCATCCCCCAATCAGCACAAAGCATTGATTGACAGGAGCCAGGCCGCATTGGGCCCATGTGCAAATAGCGTGATCTTTTCCTGAGCGACCTCACACATCTCATAGAGTACTTTTGTCACATACCGTGCCACTGGCGATATTCACATTAGCTCCATGTGTCGATCAAAGTGAGTGGTCTTGGATCAACATGTTGAGAGGCATCTGCAGGGTAACAGTATTTCAAGAAGAACTCCAGACCGAAGTCTGGCTGAAACGACAGAATCTTCAATGCTGCTGCGCGGGTCTTCTTTGCCCCCGCCTGTACTTGTGAGGGTGCGCCTCGCCAGAAGGTTTTATTTCCAGTTCGGACTTTATGTGTTGCATTCCGATCAATCTGACGGCAGACTGAGTGGGGGACTTGTAAGGATATGTATGTTATTGATGTGAAAGACCATCTTGTCTGCTCGACTTTTGCCAAAAACCTTTATATATCTCTTTCCCGCAAGTAAAGCCATCTGTGTTTGCATTTCCCTATCGAGTAGACGTGTCCGTTTTTCCCCTTGGCGATCGCTATCTCTCGATTCATCGGGGATGTCACGATTCCTTGAACTTAGAACCGTCTGGAAAGAACCGTGGGCGTCAATGCTGAATCCACCACTCGAAGCTTATAGTAACGCTGCTTGATTTCTTGAATCTGCGGGGCCTGCGTCTGCACTGTTCTCGAGCAATGGACGTACTGCTAGACACTACCCAATTAGGCACAGGAGTGTAGTTAGAAGATAAATGTAAGGACCATGGACACTGCTGGTCTAAATAGTTTCCAGTATATATCTCAGGGAAGCATCGAGAGGAAAATCAGGGTAATATTGAAATACCCCATGGCAGTTTCAGTGATATAATCGGTCTCTTCCAGATTGGGACTGTAACGCTCCAGTAGAGCGGTGCCTCATTCAACAGGCATCATAGGGCTGTCCATGAGAATCATTTACCCAAGAGATGTCCAGTTTGTGTAGCTGCAGACTCTGTTTGTAGTGTCAACTAGTTGAAATGTAACAGACTGTCTAATCTACCATAGAATAGATCTTTCGGACAAGGGAGAATATTTGGAAGTCCCATTCAAATGCGACGACCGCGGTAGTCAATAACCATATTTAGCGGTTCGGACCAAGGTGCAGTCCTGGTTATCTTGGTGTTCAATAGCTGTTAGACCACAAAAAGGTTCGCCTTGGTGTGCCGGTCACTTATTCCTGGCAATAGCACCCTAATTCGCTGGGTAGGATCGATCGATAAGATATTCTGCAGTAGTAGTAGTAGTAGTAGTAGTAGTAGTAGTAGTAGTAGTAGTAGTAGTAGCATTGTAGCGTGGGTAGTAGGGTGTGAGGGTAGGGTTAACCATGGATGAAATATTGGGATAGGGAGCCAACTACATAATAGACATCTAGAAGAGGAACCATTTATAATGAATATAACCCTATTCTTTTCTTTCATAGTGACTGTTAATATATGGAACTTGCATGTTTTATTGCGCTTGTCTTGACAGCATATTTAATACTAGTATACATGAACTATTCTATAGATATTTATCAATAACTTGCCAACTATTCAATCTACGAGCTTTATATATTTATCTAGTGGTTATGTGGAAGCGGGCTAGAATATAAAAATATAAAAATAGCATCGTATTCCCTCCTATCTACATACATACATACCTTACAGCTATCATATAATATATAAAGAATAAACCATCATCAAAGTACCACCTGCTGCCACATCTCTTCCTCCTCATATCAACACCTTTCCTCCCGATTTACCGCGTCCCAAAAAGTGTCCCCGCCACTAAACATATAAGGATACAAACGTAAAAGAACAGGAAGGCCATAAAGGGAGAAAAAAAAATAATAATGAAAAAAGATACTGCTTTTCACCACATCACCCAACATCAAACATCCACAACCCGACATTTCCCAGTCTCACAGACAAGCAAATAATTCTTCCCGGGCAGGAGATCGCTCAACGACACATTGCGAGCCCTTAACCAACTCGACTTCTCTTCATTCATCGCACGCAAATCAATAACCGAAACAACCGCCGCAGACGTCGACGCCGCAGGCCCGGCCTCCACACGCGCTTTCCGGATAATCATATCTCGCATGGGGATACGCTCTTGGTTCTGTGTCATGCTTGGTTCTCCAGCTTCCGCCGTCCCTTCCATCTTAATATCTCCACCGTCGTCGCGTCCAATAATCCCAATCACCCCCTTGACCCCAACCTCCAGCCCGACGACGGCATCCAGCAGTCCCACGAAGAGGAAGGGGTGCTGCATAATCTCGACGGAGAATGCGTTGCATGTTTCTTTCGCGAGGCGTTTGTAAGCTTCGTCTTCTAGGAGGACGGAGAGGCGGAGGAGGTTCTGGGCGATGACGCCGTTGGTGGATGGAGTTGCGGCGTCCGTGCCGGGTTTGAGTCGGAATAGGGGTCCCGGGATGTCCGGGGAGAGGGCGGAGGAGGTTGTGTAGTAGCCCGATGTGGCGCTGGTTGGAGTGGGGGAGTCCGAGGATGAGGTGGGGGAGGGGGCGATGAAGTATTTGTTTAAGTATTCTGGGTGGGCGGGGTTAGAATTTGGGTGGTTCAGGGGTAAGTAGTATTATAGAGCGTCGTGGGGTATGACTTACGTTGGAGTTTCTCGGCAAATTGCAAATAGCTGTCGTCAAATGTAGCTTCGTAAAGTGTGATCAGGCCGGAGATAAGATATGCATAATCATCAGCGAACCCGGGAGTATCCCCCCTCGCACCTTCGCGATAAATACGCCACAGCTGACCGGTTTCAGAGTCGAAAAGTGCCTGTTTGATGAATTTCACGGCATTTTCTGCAGCCTGCCTGAACTCCTTTGCTTTCTGTCCATCCACATTCTCAAGCATAATGCTACATTTTGCAAGTGCCCCGATCGCAAGGCCGTTCCATGCCACAATAATCTTATCATCTAAATCAGGACGGACCCGTTTGGTTTCCCTATATTCTCGCAGCTTCTCTCTAGATGATTTGAGGATCTTGACAACTTCGTCTTCGCTTAGCCCAAATTCCTTTGCGAGCTTGTTTGGTGTGGATTTGATGTTCAGGACATTTTGGTTAATGAATTCATCGTGAGGATCGTGGCCTCTCGCAACGTTCCCATCTGAAAGGACACCCCAGTGTCGAGCGCATACGTCTGCGTCTCGTTGGCCTAGGATCTGTTTAAACTCTTTAAGTGTCCAGACATAAAAAGCACCTTCTCTTTTCTCGGTGTCGTTTGGACTTGGGAGGCTGTCGGCATCCTCGGATGAATAGAAGCCACCAGTCGGTGATAGGATGGGAGGGCTAGTAATGTATGTTGCAATATCGTAGACTGCTCCCAATATCTCTGGGTCATGGGCGGCATCGAAGGCATCGGTGTAAACCTCTAGCAGCTGCGCTTGGTCATATAACATCTTTTCGAAATGCGGCAGGCTCCAATCAGCCGTAACGCTATAGCGCGCAAACCCATGGCCAATTTGATCATGGATACCACCCCGAACCATGGCGATAAGGGTTTTGGAGACCATTTCCATTGCACGAGCACACTCCGAATATCCTACAACGTCCGCCACGGCGTTGGGATATCGACTGAGCCGAACAAGGAAACTCAAGTTGACGGGAGTTGGGAATTTTGGAGACGTCGAGAACCCTCCATTCACAGGGTCATATCTAGCAGCGAAGTGCTGATAGGCCTCCTCCAATAGCTCGACCTCTAGATCTTCTTCGCCAGGCTGATCAGGTTGTTTGGAGTGTGTCCCTTCCTCTGCAAACTCACGAAGCTGGCGGGTAATGTCTTTTGCGCTCTCCCGACAACGCAATTGCTGTGTTTGCCATACGTCCCGTAGTTTTTCCAGGATATCAATAAACGTAACTCTGCTATCTCCGCCAAATGCAGGGAGAGAACTAGAATGTGGTCCGGGCCAATACGTCCCTCCAAATACCGGCTCGAGATCAGGCGTGAGGAAGACGTTCAAAGGCCACCCGCCTGAGCCCGTTGTTGCCTGCACATAGTTCATATATACATCGTCAATATCTGGACGCTCTTCCCGATCGAGTTTTATGGGAATGAATGACTTGTTCAAAATCGTCGCTACTTCAGGGGACATGAACGACTCCTTTTCCATAACATGACACCCTATCTTACCATCAGCTACCGAATCCCTTAGAGAACAAGAAAACAGAGTTGGACGACAGACAATGACAGGCTGAATAGCCAATACTTAAAAAGATGAGGCGGTTATATTGCTTCGCCAGAGCAATTGCTTCCGAATCCCATAACTGCCACGCA